TATCATATGTGGCTCAACAGTTGTGATCAGTTTACATTCCTCCTCAGGAGAAATTAAACTCACAAGTCGGCTCCAACATCACTAGATACTTAAGAAATCCTACCTGAACTAAAGGAACTAAGTGAATAGACCCATAGGACCTTCCTCAGGAAAGTACTAGGAGGCTTCCACTTAGGAGTTGTATCCCATGTGTCTCAACAACTTGTGATTAGTTTACATTCCTCCTCAGGAGAAATTAAACTCACATGTTGGCTCCAACATCATTGGATACTTAAGGAATCCTAGATGAACTAATGGAACTAAGTGAATAGACCCATAGGACCTTCCTCAGGAAAGTACTAGGAGGCTTCCACTTAGGAATTGTATCCCATGTGGCTCAACAACTGTGATCAGTTTACATTCCTCCTCAGGAGAAACTAAACTCACAAGTTGGCTCCAACATCATTGGATACTTAAGAAAGAGGTGAGAAGAAGGAATGAAAGTCATTCATAGTGCCTTCCTCAGGAAAGTACCATGAACTTCCCTCAAACTTCAAGATCTCAAACCTCACAGACAGGGAACAATCTCCAAGCTCTGGGTCTCTGGGTCTTGATATTCAATCTTCTCTTCCATCATGCTCTTCAACAAGATCTTCAAAAAAACTAAGCCCCACAACAAATTCCCCAAAACAAACCCCAGGGACAGACAAGTAACCACAGAACAGTCAAAACCATCAGTCAACTTCAGAAAATACCTAAAAATACTAAAGCAAGAGGGAAAAATCTAACAATCACTCACAAGGGTCTATAACATCTACCCATAACATCCCTATGTACCCATACCCAAAAATCAAATCAAAACTCTCCACAGAAAATGAATTATTTCACCTATGCATCCTTAAACCCTAATTATGATACCCTAATGCTAACCTAATTAAGCTAATCAGATTTTAATCTAAAAATCAAGAATTAAATCCTATGGCGAACTATGATTCAATATCTAATCACACCAAAAAGAATGAATTAAAAAGACTAAGGGAAGGTCCTAAAAGAAATTCTACAAAATTGAGGTACAATACTAAACATTATAAAAAGCTATTTAAATGAAAAATATACTAAAAATATTAAAAGAAAAATAAAATGGAATCTTATTTATTTATAATTTTATAGACAAGATTATGAACATGTAGAAAAAACAAGAAATGAAAAATACCAATTTTTGAATTTTCTATGAATTTTATAATATGCATGGAAAATAAAAGAAATGAAAAATAAAAGAAATTGATGAAAGGGGAGGGGGTGTGAAAAGAAGCTGCGCCTAGTTCATTTTATGATGGGCTGGGAAGTGGGGAGGTGCGCGTAGCACTTTTGGCAAGCCCATGGTGAATCAGAAAATCAAAATGAAAATTAAAAAGAAAATAAAACGCCAACGGTGCAAATAGCATTGGTTTTCAGTTAAAAACTGGATTGGGCTTCTGGGTGGGGTGCCAATAGCATGGACTGACTGAGGCCCATAGCTTTCCACTTAAGTAAACGCTGCGTTTCAGCGCTTAGGGTTTCCCTCCGTTTTCTGCTCAAATTGGGACCGTTGGATGGAACGATTAAGTCAAGGATTGGAGATGATCGGACGGTTGAGGGTCATCGTCCCCAACACGCCTAGGGTTTCAGCAGAAAACAGCATCCATGCACGCAGCTTCAAGCCTCTCGTTCTCTCTCCATGCTCAATGAAAATCCACACTTCCAAGAGCAAAGATGCTCCATTTTTCTCCCTCTATCCAACCATGCTCATAGTTTTAGCTAACTCTCC